TTTCATGCAGTGGGAGCAATGAGATTTACAAAGACAATTCAACCAGATTATACAGTTAAATCTAAGGAAAACCGGTTGATTGCATCGACTCATTGACTTGAAGGCAATCCCTCACACCAAGCATGTTTGTAGTGACAGTGGAGAGAAAAAACTCCCTTTTAAAAGAAAGAAACGTCCAGAGGATCCAGAGTATATTAATCTCAGTGCTCCTGACCGTCACTTACAACTGAAGAAGCCTCTTGGATGACAGGTGAAATGTCTTCTAGAAAACTTCACTTCCAGTTGCTTATACTGAACATTTCAAGCTTGACCATGACCTGGATGATTGAGAATCTTCACAGATATGTACACTTTAGTAATAAATAGGCCTCTGACTGTTTCAATGACTGCCCTCTTCTCCACAGTCTGACGCAGACCTGGCTTGTTTCCTCCAGCAGGCTGCAGTTGGACCATTGCATGGTAAGGGACTGGTAACAGATTTATTCTGGATCTTTAAAGAATACCTTAAAGTGTATTAACAAAAGAAAAGGGAAGATACAACATTCCAGAAGCATTGAGCAATAGGATCAGACAGATAAAAATAATAATGTCAATTAAACAATAAAGGCAGAAGTAAAAAAAAACAACATCAAAGGCTGTGTCAAAAAAAGAGAGGATACAAATGAGTTTAAAACTTTAAAAAGTGGATGATAAATCCTAACCCAGAACAGTCAAAGGCAGAGCTAAACATACTCATTTATAAGAACTTAAGGTTTCTGCTTTTTTTTTTTTTTTGTCTCGTGGAGGATAAGAACTGTCAGAGCTGTGACAGCTATCATTTTACCATTTTAATGGCGCTGCTGGTACCAGTCTGATAAGTGAAATCCAGGTTGATAACACAAAAGCCTCTCAGCTTTCAGTTCCATTTCATAACAGAAGATGGGATGAACGCCTCCTACAGGTTACCCTGAGGTACCGCAGTATGGTAAACACTGGATCTTCAGCATGGAGGGTTCTGGATCAGTTCTGGTTAGTAATCATTTCTGGGATTAGATCCTGCTGCTCTCTAGTGGTGTAGATCCTGCACTGCAGGAGGGTCAGTTTTCAATATCCAGGCTATCATGTGTCAGTCAGAAAGGATTCAATTTCACTGCTACATCATCTTTTCTCTGTCCACCCAAAGTGAGTAACAGAACCGGGCTAATCCAAGATTAAAAGTTAGACCTGAAGGGTCTGGATCAACTGCAGCGGTGTCAGCATGGAGATTGAACAGAGTTAATGGCTGAGCTGTAAGAAATACCGGATATAGTTCTGATGGTGGTTCTGATCGGGGTATTTTTTTGGTGATGACGGACTCTGGGCTGGACTACATTGAGCTGCTGCAACATGAAGTCAACAAGAATCCAGATGTGAGTTTACAGAGAGTCCTTTCAGTTCTGCTGCTGTGATCCCACAAGGTGGAAGCCACCCCTTTTCTTCCTCTCTTATGTTTTTTTTTACTTTTTATTTTGCAGATAAAAGAAAACATTTGTTTCAAAGTGGTTTCCAAAACTGTAATGTGAGGTTAGGCCTGCTCCCAAGCTGTGAGTTCCAGGTGTTATTTTATGGTAGTGAAAACATTCTGAATACATCTACAGTAAGAGTTGAGAGTGTATTCTCCATCATTCTGTACTGGGGACATGCCAGCTCATCAGCCATATCTTCCTCAGCCAGCTCTGGGTGAAATGCACGGAGAAGATGTTTTCATAAAGGCATCCTGTTGTTCTTAAATATCTGCTGGACATCATGGAAATGGGTACATGACAACCATCAGGGAAGCTTGATGCAACTACCAGTCGCTGATCATTCTGACCAAAATACTTGTTCCTACAGGGATGGTCCATCACAGAATGCTCTAAACCCAGAGGAGCAGATCTAGACTGAATCTCTGGACAAGGTTAACATAAACTCAGTGTCATAAAGACGGACTGTTCCTCAAAAGGATTTCTTATCCATGTGGTTCTGTCATATGTTAATGAATGAAAGTTCTTGACAGCCGTTCTTTTCTGAACAGATTTGGTGATCACTGCAGGATGCCGGTCTGGAAGGACCTCCATAAACCTGGAATGTTGTGATATTTAGGGAGGGGAGAGGGAGAATTATGCACACTGTTAAACTTAGATCCTCTAGACATCTTTCATCATAGACTTCCTGGCTAACTGGCTAAGGACCAGGTTGGGGATTATGGCCAAGTTGAGGAAGGGGTTGATTTAAATGGGCTGAAAGGAAGCTGAGATGTAACCTTAAATATTTAAGTCTTTATAAAGAAGTACTTTTATTGCAATCTTCCCAGACAAGTTGTGCTCTACCTTAGTATAGTTGACTGAATTGTTTTAGAGATTATGTTTAAGGCAAATACTCCATCTTTGTTCCCTTCTTCAGAGGCTGCTGGATGTGGGGAAGGAGGAGGACCAGGAGGAGGTTGCTCCTCCTTGCAGGACCCTCCCAGCTCTCTGCTCCATCCCCCGGGGCTTGGTGGTCTCCCCTGGCCTTGGAGGAACACCGGTCACCCCCCAGTTGACAGAGGTAAACCTGTCCAATCGCAGAGGCACGACGGGTCACATGACACTGCTATAGGGAGTTTTTCTTATCCTAAATGTTTTCAATTTTTACTGGTATATGGAAGAAATAATGGTCCATTCAATAGGTTTTTAGCTCCAAATCTACATAATAATTCCTCTACCATCAGCTGGTACAAGTTGTTTGTACACATGCTGTATAATTTTCCCTAAAGCTTGGAGTTGCCCATTTTATCCCTACATCTCTGCTTTGGTCTCATCTATACTATTAAGGGAGTGGTGGCCTACTGGTTAGGGCATTGCGCTTCTGTCCCAAAGGCTCTGAGTTCAAGCCCCACACCCACAGACTGCCACTCTGGGTCCCTGAGTAAGACCCTTAACCCCACACTGCTCCCCAGGCGCCGCACAATGGCAGTCTACTACTCCCCAAAGGGGATGGGTTAAAAGCAGAGAGTTTGTTTCGTTACTTTGTACTTGTGACGGCGTAATGACAACAAAGTTTAACTCTATTCTAAAGTCATTATTTAAATGCCTTGTACTTTATTTAGGCAGGTTGAAAGCCTGAGTCATGATGCCTCCTTCTTTCCCATATTGGACCAAAAACAATTTTGTCTGGTGCCACAAAAAAGTAAAAGTCTAAGCCTCATAAGGCAACACAGGATCTAAGTGTATTAGCCCAACATAAAAAAGGACTACTTGGCCTAAATATATAATAAGCATTCGTGATTAAATGTTTAACCTGGAGCAAATGTCACATCGTGTCACTACTCTGCTGTATTTAGCACTCTATGTTTAAATTCCATTACAATATTAGGTTTTGTTGCCTTGATGAAATTATAGAAATATGATCAAGAAATCAGAGTTTTGGTGATATTTTTATTTTGAGGATTTAGGGGAAAAAAAGGGAAGAAAGTTCACATACCTGCATCAGAGCGCTACCTGTTCGATCTGTGAATAGTTTTCGATGCTTGCAACAAAACTAGCAGCAGTGTTTTGGAGTTTAAATCCACTTCTTAAATCTATTTTTGAGCTCCTCTAATTTATCCAGACGTTCTGCAATCAAATTTTTTCTCTAACTGGAGAAAAATAGAGCAGATAAACTGTGTACTGCTGGAAGAACTGTGGTGAACTGTTGGGAAAAAAATAAAATTGTGCTCAAAGATGACCCTGCACATTTTGAGTATGTTTGGCTCAACCTGCTGCCTTGAAGCAGGATTCTCCACCATGAACATAATGAATGTGAAGCAGGAAATTGTCTATATACCAAACTGAATAATTGTTGTTCTCTACTCCTTTAGTGATGCCTCTTTATTTTTGGAACTCCATGTCCTGTGGGGAGCCTCCAGGACTGGTAGAGATGCTGACTGCCATCAAGTGGGCTGAGGCTTTTCCAGGAACCAATCACTGGCCAGCGCCTTAGCTGATCAGGTTTATCTGTTTTCTTTTTAAGGACCTGAGGAGGATTCTCTTCGGAGGAACGTTTCACGTCTTCAACTACGAGTGGAGGAAGTCTTTCTTCCAGTTCAGAGAGCCAGGCTCTGAAATGTCGTACGCCCTGGAGGCAGACAGGGTGAGAAAACTGGACCTCAGAGATAACTGCTAAACTCTACTCCTATTTCACTAAAGCGAGGCATCAAACATGGGAGGAAACAGGTCCTGATGGGTTAAAAATGCAAAAAAATATATAATTCTAACATGAACTCAATTCAAAGCAAATCAAAAACTTGATGTGTTGGACCGCTAAACGAGGACCAGGATCTCAGGTTAAAAACAAACAAAGAGCCTTAATATGACTTTTTTTCATCTTTAAAAACATGAAAGACTGTCTCATAAGTAAAAAACAAACAAACAAAAAAAAGACAGAAATAGATTCTGTCTGTGAGGCAGGATTTTATTATTGCATAACCTAAATGTTTCACTAAGCAGAATTCTGATGGTACCAAAAAAAAACTGTAGTCAGACCGGCCATAAGATGTATTGCCTGAATCACTTTCCTTTACACATTATTGTTGGAGCTATTTATTCTTTATTTCTTTATCCATTTGAATTNAAAATGCAAAAAAAAAAATTATAATTCTAACATGAACTCAATTCAGAACAAATCAAAAACTTGATGTGTTGGACCGCTAAACGAGGACCAGGATCGCAGGTTAAAAACAAACAAAGAGCCTTAATATGACTTTTCTTCATCTTTAAAAACATGAAAGACTGTCTCATAAGTAAAGAAAAGAAAAAACACAGAAATAAATTCTGTCTTTGAGGCACGATTTTATTATTGTATAACCTAAATGTTTCACTAAGCAGAGTTCTGAAGGTACCAAAAAAAAACTGTAGTCAGACCGGCCATAAGATGTATTGCCTGAATCACTTTCCTTTACACATTATTGTTGGAGCTATTTATTCTCTATTTCTTTATCCATTTGAATTGTTTTAATCAATTCCTACATTTATATTTTTGTATTATTTACAGTGTTTATTTGCAGGTTAATAATTGTTGATTCTATTTATCTTTGTTTTATTATTTTCCTTATGTAATTTTTGTTCTGAGGTATGATGGGAAGTGATGTGGATCAGTCCACTTTCATTTTTTTTTTTATATTTATTTTTTATTTGGTAAAGGCATAAACCATTTCTTTACAGAATTTTATAAACTGTTTACATTTTCCTTTCCCAAAGGTGTTGATTTATAAATACAAACAAAACAAATTACAGAAGCCAAGACAAATACAAATACATAATTAAAAAAAAAATTCAAAAGTTTAGAGAGAACACTTTAATATGTCAATCCATACACGTTCTGTATTCCTATTAATTCCAAAGATGAAAATTATCACAGTTAAAGTTCCAGAGCAGTTAAGGTTTTTCTATCTCCATAAGTTGTCGTAGGCGTAGTCCACTTTCTGTAAGTGTAGGGGCCTAGGAAAGGACGAGCAGGTATTTTGGGTTTGGGGCCTGTGGTTTTTAGCAATGCAAGAGAGGTAGGACAAAAGAAAAGTTTGTTCTCTTTAATTGCTGGCAAAAATAAAAAAAATAAACCATTCAGAACCATCATCAAGACTGGACATTGAAACTTCTTTTAACCTGCCTATAGAAAATTGACCCCAGTGCCTCAGTAGTGGCTTAAAGGAACTTTAATTGGATGTTTGGCCTGGCAAACAATCACCACTATACATTATATTCTGAGGTCTCTAGCTATGGACCCTGCAGGAAGTCAACCCAATGGGCTATACGCCAAACTCCACTACTTCCTGAACTTCATCCAGCTCCTTTGTTTCCTGTCCATCATTACTGGACCAGCTGATTAATCCAGCGGTATCTGGCCAGTCTTGTCATGGTTACTTTCTGGTCAAACTGAACTTTAGTCATTTGAAGCTAATTTTTAATCAAACTTCCCAGATTTTAAGTTTTGGTTTGGTCAGTCCAAGCAGAGTCTCTATGAAGGAGATGTTTCAAGTCAGACAAGGCAGGGTTTGGAGGGCAGAAAGGAACTTTGAACGAACCAGAGTTTCTACTGATCAGAGCAAAGTTTTCTTGGGACTAGGCAGCAATATGGTTGCTTGATGCTGAATTTTGTTCAGACAAGCAAGACTTGGAATTTGCTGAAGCTGAGTTTTCCTTGGATAAAGTAGAGTTATGGACTGAAAGTCCTCTTTCGATAAGACCAATTCGTCTTAATCCAAACTGTTTTGTTTTAACCCAACAGAGTCTTGTCTTTAGCTACTGGGTTAAAACATATGTAGGTAACCTTTTGAGTTGCCTCACCTGCAGAGGTGTGTGTTTCAGGGCGGAGCTCGAGCTATTCAGATGGTCATCCAAGCTCGCATCATCAAGTACCTCCTGTTCAGTCGACCGGACAGCACAGAGATAGGGACGCTGGACAAGTGAGTACAGGTGTCCTAACACGATCCTGTTTGGTACTATGACACCTTACCCGGTTCATACAAGATCCAGTGACAGCTAAAGCATGGTTGCCTGAGTTAGAAACGCCATCTTGACATCAGAGCCATTTCAAAATCACCAGAGCTCTAAAATCCTAATCCTGACTAATTAGAGCCTAAAGCTTTCATGGATCCATACAGTGTGGGAATCAATCAATCAATCAATC